GGAGTTGGACAAACTTGGGTTCGCATACTGGTTAAAACTGTTGTCAAAGGCAAGTGGAGTGCCTGCCTAGCAAGCATGAAGCCCTGAGTTCAAACCCCAGTAGTAAACCCACCCCCCACCCCCACCAAAAACGAAGGCTGTTTCTAGATTCAGTAAAATAATCCAGGTGAGCTGGTGGTTCATGCCTATAATCCTAGCTACTCAGGAGGTAGAGATCAGGAAGCTCATGGTTTGAAGCCAGCCTGGGCAGTTCGTAAGACCTTATCTCAAAAATAGCCATCAGAAAATAGGGCTGGTGAAGTGGCTTCAAGGTATAGGCCCTGAGTTCAAAAGCCAGTACCACAAAAAAAAAAAATAATAATCCAGGTGCACTCTTACTAGCCCTTAATTTTGTTGTCATTGATGTTATCGATTTAATATTAAAAATCAGAGACTGGTTCTCTAAAGAATAATGATATTTACTTGGGAATAGCAGAACATTGCAACAGGAATAATGAATGCCATTAGTAAACTATGGACATATTCAAGGAAAATGAGGTAATAGGAAGCTGGTTGTTTTTGCTTTGTGGGTGAGTTTCCTTACAAAGTACCTTTTGTAGAAGGTGGAGGCCTCTGCAAGCTTGAGTTCTGACAGTCTTTAGTGTGGTTACCATCGGGTAATCATTCATAAAACCCTTTCTTTATAGTTCCAACTTACTTTTTTTGGTTAGGGCTGACACCATTTTGATTCTGAAAACTTTTATATTTCTTTTTCTTTCTTTTTTGTTTTTGAGACAGTATTTCCTTGTGTTGCCCATGCTATCCTCTTCAAACTCTTGGACTTAAACCATACTCTTGCCTCCTGAAATCACATATGAAGATACGTTGAACAGTCGCGTAGCCAATTCTCTTTATTCTGTGCTTCTTCGACATGTTTTCCTTCTCCTGACTCCTTGAGGACATTGCACAGAACTTAATGGTAGAGCCTTTTCCTGTTGTATAACAGTGTATTTGTATTTGTCTCTCATTAGGTGACATCAGTAGACATCCAGATCTTTGGTCTTGACTTCACTATGAACTTTAGTTTGGATGTATTTGGTCTCAAAGAGCAGAATCTCACTCAGACTAGCTCAAATACACATCATCAAGAAGTGGTAGCATTTCATAGAAATTAAGCAGTGGGCTTCTGTGGGCATTGAACCCTCCTCAGGCACTTCCTTTCTTTTTCACTTTCTTCCTAGGATAGCATGGTCTTCTGTCAGTCTTTTACCTTGCCCTCAGCCTAATTCTTGTACAAGTCCACTTAGTATTTTATTCAGATCCTTAAGAGAGAATCTTATTATTATTTGTATCACTTGTATGATGTTAACATTTTTTAGGTTAAAGCTGATCGGAAGGAATTTTCACACACCAGCAGCTTATGTATAAAGCATGAAGATCAGTGCAGAGATAGATCCCAGGCCCAGCCTGACAGTTGCAGGATCACAGTTTTATGAAGTTAGCAGGTATGGGTCTTTGGATGTGGAAAAACAAAAGTATTCCCTATTCTACAGGATAGAATTTAAATAATCACACTATTTAACAAATAAAAAGCTCAGAATCACCTCTCTGGGGATTTAGAAACTAAAAAGAACCAAAATTTAAATGGAAAGCATACCCATGACAAATAAAAGGGGTTATGGGTTGTTCCTGGCATAGCATTTAATATAGGTGATTAATTTATGGGTGAATACCACAGTAAGTCCAACACATGAAAAACACACATTTGTTTGCTACTATTTTAGGAGTGGAATCTTTATTTTACCAAATCTATCATTATTTATTTAGGTAAAATATCCTATTATATTAGTTTGATTTATAGTAAAATGATTCAAAGAAGAAATTACTAAGTAGGGAACTGTAAGGGTAGGGAACAAATGCCTTTATTGAATATGTATATAATGTACATCACTTAATCTGTTAACATGAAGTAGCTTTCTGGATGGACAGAATCATTTCTTGCTTGTCAGTATTTGGGGAAGGTGGCTTTCCTACCAGCCTACGCCTCTTGCCTTTCGTGGCCCCAAGTTAAAGACTTTAAGAAGAAAAAAAAAAAAAAAAAGACTTTAAGATATAGCCTCTTACATAGGTTTGTCAGGTTATGTTGCCTGCAGCAGGATGACTTGTAGTGTAACTGAGTTGCTGATAGTCTCCTTGAAAGGTCACATGCATAAGTTCCTAGAATGTGATTCATCCCATTTACTCCATCACCATATTAGGGATGTGCTTTCTCCTTTAACTATAATTCTCAAAATCTCTAGGCAGTGAAACCTTTTCCTCAAAATACCATACAGACTGCAATATGTAACAGATTAAGGTGACATAAATTATAGTTGTAAGGATTCAAAACATTTATTTTAAAAACAGAATTTATAAGATTGAAATGCACAAAATAACCAAATCAACATCAAAATAAAATCTATTTCTATAGTATTTGGGTTATAGGTTATTAAGGGTACCTTTATGTATGCAAGTCAGTAGTTACAAATGATATATTTTTAAACAATTCGGCTTAGTAGCTGAGAATATGCTTTAATTAAGTTTAAAAGGAGAAGGGGGAAATTTGTGATGGAAAATTAAATTGCTTACAGTTTCTAGCAATACATTTAATTTCTTAATTTTGTAGATATAAAATCTAGAAAAGTACATGAAGTGATTCCTCATGAGTTTAAATCTTTTTGGTAGAACTATAACATTGAAGTGTTTAAAGGTATCATTTTAAAAATCTCAGATACTTCATTGGTACATATTCACTGTTTCAAGGCAAGTTTCCTGTTTTATGTATTCTTAGATTCTCTAACACCAGCTGGATATTCATTGATTCAATTATCTTATCTTATGATCCCATTTGTAGTTAGTGTAGACCCCACAAGTTAAGAGCTCAGTCTCACACTTTAGATACTAATCACAAGTCTACCTTTGACCCACTGGCTGTAAATTCCCATAACCCCCTTCTCAGGTTCTGTAATTTGTTCAAATGAGTCACAGAAGTGAGGAGAGTGCTTTACTTACATTTACTGGTTCATTGTGAAGCATACAATTTGAGAACAGCCAGATGGAAGAGAGCATAAGGCAAGCTATAGGGCTGGGTGCAGAGTTTCCATGTCCTCTGTAGGTGTGCTTCCTCCTCAGCAAGTCTCTGTATTCACCAACCCAGAAGCTCCCTGACCCTATCATTTAGTGGATTTTTAGAAGTTTCATCATGTAGGCATGATTGAGCCAAGCATTGGCTATCGGTAATTGAACTTAAATCTCTAGCCCCTCTCCACTTTCTGGAAGGCACTGGGGTGTGGCCGAATATTCCAATACTCCAATCTTGGCTTGACTTTTCTGGTGACCTGCTCCCATCCTGAAGCAATCTAGGGACCCCAGTCATTTATGAGCATAGGAAAGACACTCATCATTCAGGAGATTCCAAAGTTCTTGGAGGTCAGTGCCAGGAACCGAAGACAAGGATCAAATTTATTATAGCCCCTATGTTGAACCTAGTAGGTATGAGTAAGCACCAAAGCTTGAAGTGATAGCTATCTATACCTTGGTATTATCCAGATTTGATTTGTACAGTTGAATAGATTTGTAGCTGTTGCACATAGACACGTGTGAATATTTACAGCCCTTAGTGTTTTTGTTTTGTTTGAGTCAGGGTCTCTCTATGTAGCCCAAGCTGGTATTGAACTTACAATTCTTCTGCCTCAGCTTCATGACTGCTGGATTAAAGGTGTGAACCACCATGCCCAGCTCAGGGCTTTGTGCTTGCAAAGCAGGCACTCTGCCACTTTGAGCCACACCTCCAGTCAGTTTTGCTTTGGTTATTTAGGAGATGGGATCTTGTGAACTAGTTGCCTGGGTTGACCTCAAGCTGTGATCCTCCCAATCTCAGCCTCCCATATAGCTAGCATTGCAGGCATAAGCTACCAGAGCCTGGCTAGCTCTAGGTTTTTGATGGTGGCTTTTTTTGTTGTTGTTTGTCTTCACTTTCCCCTTATCAGCACAAATAAATAATCAATAACACATTCTTCACAACAGTTCAAACATGGATACTAATAAACTAAGTGAAATTGTCAGTACACTTTAAAATATTCTCATTAAAATTTTGTGTATAATACAGATGTTTAAATTTTTTTTATTATGAAAACTTTCAAGACTCCATGACAAACAGTACTACAATAAAAACTCTCATATACCTATCCCTGGATAACAGTTATCAAGATTTTGCTGTGTAGCCCAGTCAGGTCTCAAACTCACAATCTTCTTGCCTCTACCTCCACAGTGCTGGGATTGTAGGCATGTACCACAATGCCCAACTTTTAAAACTGTTTCTGCACCTACTTTTCCAGATTTGATTCTTTCAGTTCCACAGAGAGGTAATTTCTGAGCAGGTCATGGTGTGGTTTTCTTTTATTTTTGTAATAGTCTGTTTATTTAATTCTGTTCTGTGGAATAAGGAGTGCTTGTGCTTTTAACTTCTAAAGATTCAGACCTGTTTATTGTGTAAAATTTTGAATTTGGAACTGTTATTCTGGGTTGGTGGAGTGGGTCAAGTGGTAGAGCATCTGCTTAGCAAGTGTGAGGCCCTAAGTTCAAAATCCCATTACCACAGAAGAATGGAACTGTCATTCTGGGCTTGGGAATTGTCTTGGTGCTTGTCTGCATCCTGTAACTAAGCTGTTAGTATCTGAAGATGCCTCAGACAAGTTTTAACCTACAGAATTTTACCTTCACACAGTACCTATGTTGGTAGACCCTTGCTTTACTTAGTCTTTTTCTAAATACTGTTGGCATAATTGTTACTCATACCTCTTGGTTGATGTACATACAGTTTTGGATAGGAAAATTCATTTTAGGGTGGAGTGCCCTTTTGGACTTCACTGCCATCCTTGCTGAGTTTTAAAACTGCTTGTCTAGATAAATTCAGATAGTATAGACTATTTACCAATGTTGAAAATATAATTCTTTAATAGATGGCTTTTTTATTGTTTTAGAATCACAAGAAGCTGATGAACAGCTGGTAGCACAAGTGATTGAAACATACTCGTCTGAGACTTGTTCTAGACCTTCAGAAAATGAGGTACCACAGCCGACTGTTGATTATCACTCATTCAAGAGTGTCAAAGAAGAACCTGAACATGATATTAGCAAAATCTCAGTAGTGAGGCCATTTTCAATAGAAACTAACAATTCCACGGATATCCCAGCAGCTCTTGGAGCAAAAGCAGCCCATGTAACTGTGGTCTCAGGCGAGGCTTTGCCCTCCAGCCCTCCAGAAATCACTCAGGATAAGGCAATGACAGAAGGCAACATGGGGATTACACTTGAGGCTTCTGCAGAAACCAATCTGAAGCCTGGAAGCTCCTGTCCAGAGCCTGTGACCAGCAGAAGCAAGCTAAGGAAGCCCAAAGTTGTCTCCCTGAGGAAGAAAACAACTGGAGGAGAGTTCTCAGAAATGCAAACCGCTATGGAGCCTCTCCCCAAGGCATCATCCAAGTTCTGTCCTGATGAATTGGATGAGAACACACATTCTTCTGTGCTAGAAGGTGCCAGGAGCCAGAAGTCTCCCCCTGACCTGAAAGAGGCTTCTGGCACTCTCAGTAGTGATACCAATGACTCAGGAGCTGAACTGCAGGAGTCATCAAGGAGTTTGCCTCTCAAACTCGAGTTTGATTTCACAGAAGATGTGGAAAATGTAGAGGTCAGGAAAGCCCCTCCAAGGAAACTGGGTAACAAACTGATGCCCAAGATACAAAAAGATGGCATCAGTAAGCCAGTAGGTATAGAACAGCCTGCAGATCCAACAGCCAGAGATGCCTCTCTCTCCCAAGCATCCCCTAAGCCAGATCCTAGTCAGTGGGATCACCCCAACTTTAATTCCTTTGGGAGCTCCATTCTGCAGAGCTCCCCAACCCTGTCCTCTAAGGGTTCCTACCACTTTGACCCAGATAACTTTGATGAATCCATGGATCCCTTTAAGCCATCTACAACTTTACCAAGCAGTGACTTTTGTTCTACCACTGGTAATCATGTTCACGAAATCTTAGACTCACCCAAGAAGGCAAAGTCGCGTTTAATAACGTGAGTGACAAGGGGTTCGGGGCATGTGTCTGCACATTCTCTCTGAGCTCAGCAATGGCTGTTTTTGGTTTGGGTGAACTACATTTATCTTTGAGGTGCAGTGGGGCAGATACAAAGCTTGTGACTTTATTCTGCAGTCTTTACTATTTTTCCTAACTTCCATGGAATCAGAAGTACTAGAGTTTTCCTTTGTAGATTTTTTTCTTATTTTTGAATCCTTGGCTTATTTAACTAAGCTCTTTCCTTCTCCCCTATCCCCAGTACTTTTTCTTATGTTTAAAAAAAAGCAGGTAGAGAGTTGATGGTTTTCAGAAATCCTCATAAGGATTCACTTTAGATACAGAATTCTAGTCATCTTAGGTATTTCATGGGTAAAACAAATATTCCAAGCATACAGATTACCTGTCTAATATTAATAGTGTGGAAATGGTCCAAAAGGGTCTTACAGAAGTCTTTTTACTGAAACAGAAAGCTGGGGGAAGGGTGTTTGTTGGAAACAAACCTACCATAAAAAGTTGATGAGAATTCTTTTCTTCATTTATAGCTTGTGGTTCATTATCCAGAGGTGAATTTCTGACAACAATATTTTAAATGTTCAGTTAAATCTGAGTAAATAAGTCAGTGTTCTGTCCTGTGCTCCCTCTACCTCCCATTCTCCTGGGAAACCTGGATGTGCTTTATTTTAGCAAGCTCTCTGGAGTTCCCAGAATGATTCCTCAGGCCACGTTTCATGGCAAGTTTTGGTTTAACTTTGTTACAGGATTACCCTATCATAAAACTTAAGTTCAATAGATGACAGTTTATCTGTTTGTAACCTTGTGACATGTACTAAAAATTAGACATAAAGAAAGATCAAATGATACAGGATGAAATGTAAAAAGGCAGTATGAGAAGTATTTGTAGTTGGTGCCAGATCAGTTGGGGAAATACTTTTCAGCATTACTATGACTTAAAAAGAAAAACAGCAGATAGTAAATTATACTGGAAGGGAAGACACCTGGGATAAAGAGTGAAAGTATCTACTTCCAGACTGAGAAGGCTGAGAAGGCTGAGCAATGTAGGAAGCAGTTCTCCAGAATGTCTCCCAGCATGTCTAAGGGGAATGAATTGTCATTAGTAGTTCTTGATCTGTTCTCTGATTACATATGAACAGTTAATTGGTGGTTGGAAAATATTGATTGGGTGTCCACACAGTTCTCTTTGTAGTTTTTAAGGTTAGGTAGCTAGTGTCTAGACATCACTTGGGGTACATACTGGGCACTCATTGCCTTGGTGTTTTGTCCTCTAAAGGTGACCAACGTTATTAGGAGTTGTTTCAGATCTTCTTTTCAGCTACATGCTAAAGGCATGAAGCTAGTGCATTCATGTTAGGTAAGATTAAATCTGGGCCAAACGGTCTCCCCCTTTTTTCTTTACTTTATATTCAGTATCAAAAACATTAAAACATTGAATATCAAAAAAAAGTTCTCCCTTGAGTCTTACTATCCTTACCTAGTAGCATTTTTCCTCCTTTTCTATCTTTGTGGAATGAACTTCTTGACCTATTATATCATAAGACTTAAAAAACTTACGCACAAGCAAAAGTCTTTTATTTGTATTAAGCCTCTCGTGTAACAGTGGGTTGAGAGCTCTTCATTTGCAGGAGACTGACGCATGCATTTGTTGGTAGCATCTCATGGATACTTGGGAGTTTTGTGAAATAGCCAAAAAGATGTATCTGATTGGCGCCTAGATTCTTCTAAAATGGACATAACGTAATGTGATTGGGATTTTGCAATCCAAATAAGATAGATGATATGAAATCATTTAAACTTTTTTATTTATTTATTTTGAGACAGGGTCTGACTCTGTTGCCCAGGCTGGCCTCAAACTCACTATTCTCCTACCTCAGCCTTCTCAATGCTGGGATTCCAGGTGTGTGCCACCATGCCTGGCTTATTTTAAGTTTCTATTTTTTATAGTGAAAGTGATAGTAAAATTTATTAAGAAAGGAATATACTTTCAAAAGACTGAAAGTGAGAGAGCACAAATGACCTCATTTTATGTTTCTTAATAATACACACCTGTTGCAGAGATAATAAGACATCTTTTGGACTGTGTTTTTGTTTATGCATTGCCTTTGATCTGGATGATAAGACAGTTAAAAATAGATGAGCTCAGTAGTGAAATACTGTTTTCATACATTTACATATATTTAGAAGTTTACTTTTTAATTATAAATTTGATATGTGGCATTTCTGAGTGTTTATACTGCTCTTTTACTCCATTAGCACTGAGGTCTTATTAATCACTCACTAGTGCCAGCATTCATGAATATAACATTTTTAATTTGTGTCTCACCACATAGAAAGAGCTGTGCAGCTTTTACATCTACCAGACTAAAGATATTCTAGTGTTCACATGATTTTTTTCTCCATCTGTCTGTTTCCTGTCTCTAATTTTTTGGTGCATCAGGACTACTGAGCAAGTGAAATTTCTCTGTTTTCTGTTGTAAGTACTCTGCTGTTGATTCTGTTTGCCCCGGGACTGTTGACAGTCTCCAATCCCTGCCCCAGCTGTTTCTCCATAGCATGTTGGCTTCTGTTTCTCAGTTTGACCTCCTGATGATTTTTTTTTTTTTTTTTGCATTTCATTTGCCCCTTCATGAGTCGGCTTAGCCTTGCAATTTTCTGTACCTAAGACGAGATCACCCTTTCTACCTTAGGTGCAAGAGCTTGCATTCCTTGGCTTGGCACGTGTCGTGTATGCTTTGAATACCAAATGCTGGCTTGGCCTCAGGGTCACCACAGCAGTGGTTTGAGGGGATGATCTGCTACTTAATGTTGTGAATCATTGGATTTTTTTATTTATAAGTGTGTTGCCTTGGAGCTCGTAATAAATTTTATTGGTATGTGTTCCTGCGCCAACTTGAGTTTGGTGGCAGAGGGTGGCATGTAGTTGTGTGGTGACAGACTAGGAAAGAAGACCATGGTCTGGTGGTCACATGCCATAACTTACATGCTTGTTTTTGTATTTCTTTTTCCAGCAAAGAAAAGCAAGTTGCAAATATTTTTCTTTTATTGTTCAGAGTGGAGTGTTCAGTGAAGCTTTAAATTTCATTAAAACAGAGCAGCATCTGAATTAGTCCTGAGACTATAAATTATGTACTATCTTAAAACTAACAGGAAGTCTTAAGTTTCCTCAGTTCTGAGCTTTGTGCAGTAAGTGGTGTTCATCTTCCATCTTACTACTTAATAAGAATAGTAACAATTTTTACAAATATTTTTACCTTTGCACTTTTTGTTGACCATAGTTCTTTTCTGTAAGCACCCAGCTCTGGATTGAAGCTATCTTAGGAGACTTCTGTGGCTTTTAGTGCAATAAAGAATTTTGAAAGAATCTGGTCCGGTGTGATGATTTTTCTGATGAACGTCAAAACCAAGCGACTAAGATCAGAACCAAGTGTGTCTATTTGCTAAGGCTAAACTATCTGAAAGTTCTTTGGTGGTATGTAACTAAACGTGGTAGAGGTCAGAGCACTGATGTTTACAACCCACAGAACCAAGCAAGCAAGGTGGTCTTTTCAGAGATGAGCCCAGCTGTTGCTCTTTGCTACCCTTGCCTCTTGGGAGAAGATTCAGAGAGAGCAAAGGTGTCTCTTACATCTCTATCATGCAGATGTATGATTTGTGTGGTGCTGTACGCTTTGGCTTTTCCCTGCACACACTGCACTAGGATTCATCTCATACCTTGAAAGTTGTCTTTGTGATTCCAAACTGGCATATCTGTTTTCCTCTCTTTCTAGGAGTGGCTGTAAGGTGAAGAAATATGAAGCTCAGTCTCTTGCTTTGGATACTTGTTCTCAGGTAAGTCTGTACCTGTCACCAAAATGTGTCTTAGACCAGTGTTGCAGTCCCTGGGAGTGGTTCACCAAAATTCTCCAGCACATGTCTGAGTATTCAGCTTGAAGGAAGCCAATTTTCAGATCCTTAAAATCCTAAAATCCAGGAAGACCTGGAAGTCAAGGGAACTCTTTCACTTTGATCTTTTGTTCACTTAAAAAAAAAAATCCCATTCTAAATCATACGAGTTGTATCACCACAGACTGTGAAGCCTTCTAGGGCATCAAATAAAGGGAAGATTTGAAATAAATTTACCTTTGATTTGCTAAAAAAAAAAAAATTGCACTGCAAAAGTTTTTTAAATTGTTGGAACAGTACCTACTTTTGAGTCTGATAAATTACAATATTTTGAAGATAAATTGTGCACTAGTAATAACAACTCTCCAGAAAATAAGTTTTATAACGATGACTTATAAAAGAAGTAAAGAAGGTGAATATGGGTGATGTAATTTCTATACAAGAATGACTATAGAATTTTTAAACCTGTTGAAGCCGCTGTAAGAAGGGGAATAAGGTAGAAAGGAGAAAAATGGAGGGGATGACCAATTTAGGATATAAGGCATATATATATGGAAATGTCATAATGAAACACCCTGTATAGATACCCTAAACAAACCAAAAAGATCTTTTTTTCAAAAACAGAGGACAGGGATATAAAACGGATTCTACCTGGGGGTTGATACCAGTGGGAGAGAGGAGGATGTAAGGAAAGGTGTAGGAGGATGAATGTGGTGAAAATATTATGTACTCATGTATGAAAATGGAAAAATGAGACCTGTTGAAACTATTCTAAGAAAGGGGGAAGGAGAGAGAAAGTAGAATGATGGAGGGAGTGAATTTAAGATATATTTTAGCTGGGCGCTGGTGGCTCACACCTGTAATCTTAGCAACTCAGGAGGCAGAGATCAGGAGGATCACGATTCAAAGCCAACCTAGGCAAATGGTTCTTGAGACCCTATCTCGGAAAAAACCCTTACAAAAATGGGCTGGTGGAGTGGCTCAAGGTGTAGACCCTGAGTTCAAGCCCCAATACTGCAAAAACAAAAAAAACAAAAAAGAAGGAGATATGTTGTAAGCACTTTGGTGTACCCCCAGTGCAACAATAATATGGTAATAAAAAATTAGACTTAAAAACAAAGAAAAAAATGTTAAAAATTTTTTTCTTTTTTTTTTTTTTGGTGCAACTGGGGTTTGAACTCAGGGCTTCATATTTGCAAAGCAGGTACTCAAAACGCAAGCAGTCTACCACTTGAGCCACACTTCAGCCCATTTTGCTCTGGTTATTTTGGGGTCTTGCGAACTATTTCCCCAGGCTGGCCTTGAACCACAATCCTTCCGATCTCAGCCTCCTGCATAGTTAGGATTGCAGGCAGTGCCCAGCTTAAAAATCCTTCTTAATGCTGAAAAGTTTTTAGATGTAACTTGAAAATACAATGAGGTGCATGGATTTTTAAAAAAATAGATACATGAGCAAGAAAATTTGAAAGACAGTCTTGGGTCACTTAATCTTATAAATTTAGGCTAGAAAAACTCAATTTTTCAAAACTCAGACTCAAATTACAAAAGGTAGGTTTTAGAAGCTGCAAGATTTCATGACTGAGAGACTCTAGCTTCATACCTGAAAGTCTGTGTGGAATTGTGGCCACTTGCTCCCTCATCGTTTGCCTCCTAATGGGTAGTATCTCGTGCTGCATTTCCCAGGATGAAGGAGCAATGATCTCCCAGATTTCAGATGTTTCTAGTGTGGATGGCCATGCAACTGATGAGGAGAAACTGGCGTCTACATCATGTGGTCAGAAATCAGCTGGGGCCGAGGTGAAAGGTGAGCCAGAGGAAGACCTGGAGTACTTTGAATGTTCCAATGTTCCTGTGTCTACCATAAATCATGCGTTTTCATCCTCAGAAGCAGGTATGGAAGCATATCTTCATCTTTCTAACATACGTAAGCATGGAAATGCCTGAAAGCCAGTCCTAAAGCAGGAGGTGCTGGAGAGACTAGAGAATTGGGTCACTGAGGGATAGGTTAGGTGCTGACCTATGCTTTGCTTCTTTACCTTCAAAAGAAATATAAAAAAGAGCTTACAGGGTCCATATGATGTCCAGGAGACGCTGATTCAATTTCTCTTTAATTTTGTGTTAACATGGTCATATCTTGAACTATGATAGCCTATAAATATTTTACACATTTGGCTTTTATGTAATTGTTGTGCTCATCGTGTAACTCACAGAAATTACAACCAACACGTATAATGTTTTACCATGTGTAAGCATTACTCTCAAGTGCTTTACATGAATCAACTCATTACTCCTCGCCAGTTGATATGTTTTACCATTCTTCAGAAAAACAGTGAGGCACAAAAGTTAAGTAATTGACCAAGGTCACATGGCTAGCATGCGAGAGGAAAGTAATGTCTTTTTCCTTTCCCATTGTGAGTTCATGGCTTGAGACCTCTGAAACAAAAATGAGACCTAACAAGAGAAAAGCATACAAATTTACTTAATGCAAGTGTTTTGGGAGTTTTTTAAGGTTTTTTTTTTTTTTTCTCTTTTGTTGTACTAGAGTTTGAACTCAGTACACTTGGTAGTGTCTCCAGCCATTTTTGCTCTTGTTGTGCTCAAGATAGGGTCTTGCTTTTTGCCCAGACCAGTCTGGACCATGATCCTCCTATTTTATACTTCCCGCTGTTGCCACCACACCTAGCTTTTTTTTTTTTGAAATGGAGGTCTTGTAAATTTTTGTCCCTGGACTGGCCTGGACCTTTGATCCTCCCACAACTCCACACCCAGCTGTTGGTTGAGATGGTGTCTCACAAAATTTTTGCCCAGGTTGGCCGGGAACTTCAGTCCTCCTTGTCTCAGCCTCCCAAGTAGCTAGGATTATGGGCATGAGCCACTAGAGCCTGACTATAAGGGGTTTTTTGTTGTTTTGTTTGGGCTTGGTTTTTCTGCAGTGCTGGGGCCCAAACCCCCAAGGCCCTGTGCATGTTAGGGAAGCATTCTGCCACTGAGCTACATTCCTAGCCCTTGGTTTTATTATGTAACCCAGACTGAAAGGGAAACTTGGCAATCCTCCTGCCTCAGCTTCCAGAGTACTAGGATTATAGGTGTACAGAGCCTTCCAAAATGAAGGTGAAAGAAACAGAAAAATATGTGTTTTTATGGACACTCATACAGAATTACAATTAGAAGACAGAAGGGAATGATCTAACAGTGAAAAAGTGGAGGGAACTTAGCAAGGCCTGTTTTTTCAGGTTCTTCTTGGTATTTGTGTCTTCAAGGATGAGCACACTCTTTTCCTCCAAGTATTGGGAGGACACCTCTCAAATGATGGCCTTATAAACTATTTTCAGGAGACGATCAGAGAATTCTTTTACAGTATACATGAGGGAAGAAGGGCATAGAGACCTTCTGCTTCTGCTGCCTCCTCAAACACCAAGGTGCAATATTTTGGAGTAGTATGTTATAACTCCATCACTGTAAGTGGTAGAATTAGATTCCAACTTAAGCAGTCTGGTTCCCTGGCCTTTTAACCCCAGTGCTAAAGTGTGAAGTAATTGTTTTCTTTATATTAGGCTACTGTAAATTTTCCTGTCACAAATGTGGTAGATTGAAATTCCTTAGCATACTAAAAAAGAACCTAAGCTCCTACCATCATATTCTTAATGGCGCTCTAGAGCAAAGGCTGTCTACTGGGTCCCATATTAATCTGTGGCTTTAAACTTTACTTATGGAACGTTTAGAGCCATTGTCCTGACTATGTTCAACATTATTAAAAACTCAGATCTTCTTAAGCAGCACAATTTAACTTGTGGACTTTTATACTTGGAATTTTAAAGGTCATGATCTGCCATCAAACTGGGAAATAGAAAGTCAAGACTTCGAGCAAGTTTCTTCCCTGGACCTCCTCCCTGTCCCCAGGTCTCGGTTTTCTATCAGTGGTAGTTAGCTTTCCTTTCTATGACAAATACCTAAGATAACCCACTAGTAAAGGAAAAAAGTTTATTTTGGGTTGTGGTTCAAAAGGTCCAGTCCATGGTCAGGCAGCCCATTGCTTTAGGCCTCTGCCCAGCATGCCTTATGGCACAAGTAGTGGGTAGTCTATGGTGGAGCAAATTGCTGTCCTCATGGCCAGGAAGTGAGAGGAAAGGAAGGGACTGGACTCCCACAGCGTAACTCAAGGGCATGCCCCCAGTGACCTGAAGACTTCCCACTAGGCCCCTGGTTTTATTTTTTGGCATTACTGGGGTTTGAACTCAGGGCCTTTTGCTTGCTAGGTAGGAGCTCTACCACTTGAACCACACCCCTAGCCCTAGAGGCCCCTCTTCTTAAACTTCTACCACCTTCGAATAACACTACCCTGAGGACCAACCCTTTAACGTATGTGCCTTAGGAGAGAGTTCCACCTCCAAACTGTAGCACCAGCTGTAAAATAAATGTGGCAGGCAGTGTGTGTGACTTCTTTCCCAAAGGCCTTGTTCACTGTGGCCCTTGGTTCCCCTTTAATCCTAGTTTTTCAAGGTTAATTGCAAGTCCCCCATGCCTGCAACTGTTTCTTGTACATATCTGAAATGTCTTTCTTTGCCATTTCCTACAAACAGTCTTCACGTTCTTTCAGGTCTGTCATGAATGCTGAATTGCAACCACTGTACCCTCTGCTCCCACTACACCTCTTCTTACCCTTCAGCACCTAGCATACAGCATTCCTTATAGAAGGGTGGCTGTTGTAAATTCTCAAGGTCAGGGATTGTGAGAGGTATGCATTTAAATTTCCTCTGATATGGTAAATATTTGTTGAATTATATTCTTCCTCAGTGGAGGAAATTCCTTGAGAGAGAGCTGGGAGGTGTATTACATACAGTGCTAGAAAGTTCATAAACTAGCAGTTGGCTTCTGAATAGCAGGAACAGATTTAAACAAGTTGTTACACTGTAACTGGTTACCTCTGTCAAAAGGAAGAGCAGAGAACAACGTAATTGTTCTCTAGGAAACAAGAATCTCACACAGTGAGGGGAAGGAACCTGCTGTGTTGACAAAATAGCTTTCTGTATGCACAGACAAGTAGGAAAGGAGGATGCAGTGAAGAATTTGGACTTAATCTTACAGGTCTGGGGGAGGCTTTGAGCAAAGAAGTGATGGTCACATTTGTGTTTTAAATAACTATTGACTAAAATAGTATTTGGTTATTGCTACATGAAGGATTGTAGCATTAAATTGTTGTGCACTTTTCTATATTTTAAAATTTTTTTTCAATGAGGTCATATGCTGTTTTTTGTTTTTGCTTTGTTTTGTTTTTTAATGCCACCTCTGATGGTAAAGTGAAAAATAGACCTGATAACAAGGAAACCAGATAGAGGGTATGGAGAGAAGAATGAACATAGTTTTGCAGGCTTGAAGTTTAAACTTACATTAATTAAATTGAGAGTATCCTTCTGGGCTGGAATTTAAATTCGCTCAGACTTGATAATAAAAATAGTATTCATTGTCACAATTTCCTTTTTCTGAAATAATTCCATGGTTAGTACAACTCAGATGCTAAACTTTTGATAGACACAAGGGGGCAGCCCTACCGTCCTTTTTGCTGAAGGCTTGCCTGTTTATGACTAACTATGCACTCTTTCTTCTCAATCTTATGGACTTTTAACTCCGAACAGACAGAGCTCAGCAGAACACAAGTACTCCTTTTAAAACCTTGAAATGCTGTTGGTGTGTTCATAGTCATTTTTAGCCTGCACTGGGGTTCCTGAGTCTTTCTCTAGGATTGAACTAATCTTGGAAGAACTATAAAAATTACTTTCTGTGTTTTAGGCGTAGAGAAAGAGATGTGCCAGAAGATGGAAAAAGACGGATCTGCTGTGCTTGTAAGTTCCTAAACTTGGGGATGGGGTGGAGATCAGGCTTCTTTTCAGCATTTGTTTTGAAGCCCACGTCTTGTTAGTGTTAGGTGATGGTGATTTTACTCACATATACATACAGATGTGTGTGTGTGTGTGTGTATAAATAAAACCACCGCCGTGTGTGTGTGTGTGTGTGTGTGTGTGTGTGTGTGTGTGTGTGTAGATAAGATAGCATGCTAAGATCTGACTGACTACATGGCAGGTATCAGGAAGGCTGAATCTGAGCTAATTAAAAACTGAGTCATATTTAACTCTTCATATTCTTTTATTTATTTATTTTGCAGTACTAGGGCTTGAACTCAGGGCTGATACCTCACTCCACCAGCCCTTTTTTTTTTTTTCTTGTGATGGGTTTTTTCAAAATAGGGTCTGTCAGGAACCACTTGCCCAGGCTACCCTCAAACTGTGATCCTCCTAATTTCTGCCTCCCATAGCTAGGATTACAGGTGTGAGCCTCTGGTATCCAGCTTAAACTCTTCATTTTCAGTTGGGTTGAAATATATACCAATTTGTTGATATACAAAGAATTCTGGTATATCTTTTTCCCATTTTACTTAAATATTAGCATCTTACATAAACAGAGCACAGTTATCAAGGCAGATAAGGCAGGAAAGTGCAATCCAGGAAGGTAAGTTGACTTATGTAAAGGCAAGAGAGTGAGAAAAAGTTGGAATTTTATAAGGAGTTGTGAATACTAATAATATTGTGTTTGAAGAATGACTATACTGTATAGCTTATATATACATATATATGGTAGGCAAGGTCCAGATCATCAGGGGAGAAATAGATACAGTGCCAGAGGGTTTGGAATTCATGGTAGAATTGTTGGGTATCATTGTAGGTTTTTAAGTAGGGAGCAATGTGATTAGTTATAGTTCATAGGAGAGGATGTAGGCAAAGAGTGATTTCATAGGCAGAACTTCAGTGACGTATATAGTGGCCAGGATGTGGCTGGTAATGAGAAAAAGATGGACTCCACTGAGAGTTTCTGCCCTAAGCATCTGAGTGGTCAATATTACTATTAACCAACCCTCATTGTAACACCTAGTTATTTAACTACAAACCTGGGATCACCTTTGCCTCCTCCCATCCCCTTAATACTCACAGGTATGTGGTTTCTATGTTTAGAACTTACATAAAGTAAAACTGTCTCCTCTTCTTGAGCTCATGGCCACTTACCAATCTTTTAAAAGATGGTAGCAACTTTTTAACCAGTCTTCCTGTTTCCAGGCTTGGTTTATCATCTTTTGGCATAAGCTAGTTCCTTTTAAAGTTTTCCAAGTACAACAGGAGCACTTCCTGTGTAAAAATAGTGAAGGGACGATTGGAGAAGGGTGTGTTGGGAGGATATAACATTGGTCTGTAGGACTACGCATTCAGGTGGTTTACCCAGTTCTTGAAAAAAACAGTTTAAACATCCTGATTCCCAAAAAATGAACAGTACCTGTCTGCCTCATCAGGGTGATTGTGAGGCTAAGAGGAAATGATAATGTGAAACATTCAAGACTACAATAAGGTGGTGTGTTAAGAGAAAAAGATTGGAAAAGAAGGTGAAAAAGAAGAGTAAAGTATACTTGTCTTTAGCCAACTGGGAAAGAACATATCATGTTATGACCCTTAAAAGTAACCCCATATTTACTTCCTGGCATAAATTAATGTTTACTTCCTTAATGTAAAGTATTGTATAGACATTGTGCAAAAGAATTTCAATCTAAGGGCTTGGAGTGTGGTTTAGTGGTAGAACACTTACCTAGCATGCTCATGGTCCTGGATTTGATCCCTGGCAATGCAAAAAAGAAATACTAGTCTTCAACATGTTGAATAAAGAAGCCTGTGTAATCTAGAATTTATCTTTTAAGTCTCTCTGGTTGCTTTGAAGTACATTCCTGTTGCAATCTCATGCTCAGAGGTAGGTGGTGGCTGGGACAAAATAACTAAAGCCAGCATTCTCTAAGTGGTGGGGATTGAGTCTCATCTTGCCTTTCAGCTGTTGGTTGGCAGCATTTTCCATTTAGGGGTCAGTTTATTTTTTATGTGAAGTCTTAAACGCCTTAAAAGTTGAGTTCTGGTGGCTTTTCCAACCATGTCTCCGTTAGAGTAGAGGGAGGGATGGCACTCCTCCAGGACTCAAGGACAAAGGCTGGGAAGAGCATAGTCATTGCAGCACAGAAGATTAGTGCTGCTAATGCTCCCACTGCAGGGACACCGGAAAGGGAATTACTTTGTAGCATCTCTGCTCACTGTATATTTGCAACCAGGACATCACTGAATTATTCCATCCCTAGACAGGTCTTTTTTGGTTCTTAAATTGTGAAGACCAGTAAAAGGGTTAGGGAACGTGAAACCAGACCTCTTGGGAAGGATATGATTCGTTTATTGGTTGATTGATTCAGGCATCTTCATTTAGGCCCAGTCCTGAAGAGATTGGCCAGTTCTTTGTGGTGGTAGATTCTGTAGACTTTCTATACTGTTTAATAAGCAATATCAAGGAATGTAAAAAGTTAAATCCAGGGAAACTGGGGAAGGCAGCTAAAAGGTCACAGCATGAATTCCTGCCCTGATCACCTCATAAGAGCTGTTGAATTTTGAGTAGTGAGGCTTGTGGCATATGGCTAGGCAGGTGGAGTGGCTAGGAGAGAGCTGACAGGCTACAGAGCCACTCACCTAGATACATTGGCCACCATCTAAGATCTGATCTTCCACCTCCAACTCAGAATGCTGCATTGAGTTATAGTGAAAGTAGGCAACTGAAGTTATTTATCCCCTTGACAAATGAGATACTGAACTCTCTAGAGTGGATGTTAGTATTTTCCTTGCTAAGAAAGCTTGTCCGTCTATTTTCCAAATTCTCGCTAACATGGTGACTGTGAGACATGTTTTTTTTTAGAGTTGATTGGGCTTGAGAACTCTGACCTCAAATAATAAACTCACAAAAGACTGATCTGGAAGTGTATTAATTGAAAATCAGAAAAGTAAAATTTGTCACCTTGACCCAATGTATTCAGGGCGTTATCTCCCTTTAGGCAGGTTACATTAGAAGCAAGATGGTGAGAAAATTTCTTTTTAATTGCACAAAATAATGGACTTCATTATAACATTTCCATACATGTATACAATGTACTTCAATCCTATTCACCCCACCACTTTCTCTTCGCCTCTTCCCCCAAATAGTTCCCCTTTTATGTTTAAGTCTTTTTTGTTTTTTCAGATATAGATTCTACATTTAAGAGAAAACATATTTGTCTTTCTGAGTTCAACTTATTTCATTTAACATGATTATCTCCAGTTCCATCCATTTTCCTGCAGTTGACAGGATTTCATATACCATAATTTCTTTATGCATTCATCTATTGATGGGCAGCTAGGCTGATTAATAACTTGGTTATTGTGAATCATGCTGCAATAAACATAGTGTACAGGTATCTCTATTGTATGCTGATTTTGATTTCTTTGAGTATATGCCCAGAGTGGAATGGCAGGGTCATACGGTTGTTTTATTTTTAGTTTTTTTGAGGAATCGCTATACTGATTTCCATAATGGCTTCACTAATTTACATTTCCACCAACAATGTATAAGGTCTGTTACCCCTCGTCCTGTCCTCCCCTCCCCCATCACTGCCCCCTGCATCCTTCCAGCATTTGCTGAAACTTCATCCTGGGGTAAGCAAAATCTCAGTGTAGATTTGATTTGCTAAGGATGTTGAATATTTTTTCATGTGTTTATATTGGAGAGCTATCGGTTCAATTCATTTGCCCATTTACTGATTGGATAATTTGTTCTTTTGATGTTTAATTATTTGAGTTCTTGGGATGGAGATGTGGTTCAAGTGGTAGAGTGCTTGCCTGGCAGCACAAAGGCCTAGGTTCAGTCTTCAGTACTAAAAAAAAAAATTAAGTTCTTTATATATTCTGGATATTAATCCCTTGTCGGGTGAATAGCTGGCCAAGATTTTCTCCCATTCTTTAGATGATGTCTTCACTCTGATAGTTGTGTCCTTTGCTGTGCAGAAGCTTTTTAACTTGATGGAATATCATTTGTCAATTCTTGCTGTTATTTACTAAGACATTGGAGTCCTATTCAGAAAGTCGTTGCCTATGCTTATGTCTTGAAATGTTTTCCTGTAGTAATTTCAAAGTTTCAGGTCCTATATTAAGATCTTTGACCAATTTTGAATTGATTTTTGTACAAGGTGAGAGATAGGAATCTAATTTCAGTCTTCTACAAATGGATATCCAGTTTTCCTAGCATTGTTTGTTGAAGAGACCATCTTTTCTCCAATGTATGTCTTTGGCTCCTTTGTCTAGAATAAGTTGGCTATAGCTGTATGGGCTTATTCCTGGGTCTAATATTCTATTCCATTGGTCTGCCATTTTTGTGCCAGTACCAGGCTATGTTACTTTGACTCTTGTATAATTTTAGGTATTGTGATACCTCTAGCATTGCTCTTTTTGCTCAGGATTGATTTGGCTATTTAGGGTCTCTTGCGTTTCCACATGAATTTTAGGATTGTTTTTTCTATTTCTGTGAAGAATGTCATTAGAATTTTGATGGAGATTGCATTGATCTGTAGATTGCTTCTGGTAACTTTCACAATATTTTGCTGACCCATGAGTGTGAAAGGTCTTTCCATTTTCTAGTGTCTTCTTCAGTTTCTTTCTTCACAGTGTTTTGTTGTTGTTTTGTTTTGTTTTTTCCTTTTTTTGCAGTACTGGGGCTTGAACTCAGGGCCTATACTTTGAATCACTCCATCAGTCCATTTTTGGATAGGTTTTTTTTGAGATAGGATCTTGAGAACTATTTGCCCAGGCTGGCTTTGAACTGCAATCCTCCAGATCTCTGCCTTCTGAGTAGCTAGGATTACAGGCATGAGCCACTGGCATCTGGCCTGTTTTATAGTTTTCATTGTAGAGGTCTTTCACCTCTTTGTTAATTTATTCCTAGGTATTTTTTTTTGAGGCTATTATGAATGAGATTGTTTTCCTGATTTCTCTCTCAGTATATTTGTTACTCGTATATGTTGCTTTTGTACCCTGCTACTTTGATGAAAGTGTTTATCAAATCTAGGGAGTTTTCTGGTGGAGACTGTAAGAAAGTTTCTTGACAGGAAGCCAGGCATAGGTTAGTGAGATGGTTCCCGCATCCAAGGGTAGTCCCTGAGCCAAACTCAGTGACTCAAAACAACCAGCATTCATTAGCTCATTGTTTCTGTGCGTTAGAAATCCTTGGGTGGCTTTGCTGAGTCCTCTGACTCTCAAGATCAAGGTTTTGATCAGAGCTACAGTCATCTCCAGCCTTGAGTTAGAGTAGATTCTCTTTCAAGCTCATTCGCATGGTTGATGGTAGAGACACCAGTTCCTTGCCATAATAGGCCTTTCCATAGAGCCTCTCAATACATGGAAGCCAAAGTCTTTTTGTAAACTGTTCTCAAAAATGACATCCATGACTTTTAGTAGTGAGTCACTAAATCCAAACTCTACCCAAAAGGTGGAGACTATACAAGAGGATCAATACTGGGAGGTGGGTATTGAGAGAGCCATGTTAGAGACTGCCTACCACAAATGCCCTCTGGTTTTACTGGGAGAGCTATACCAAGATAGAAAGCAAGAGGTTTTGGGGGTAGCCTTGAACTTCTGTCAGCATGATGGGCTTCCCTCCCCCAAATGCTGTGGCAAAATGGGCACTGACAGCTGGTAGCTTTTATAATTCTCTTTTCTGTGGCCTAAAATGAGTTTCTATCTTGGGTCTATGGCTAAGGTCTGTCAGTCTGTATGCAAAAATTTCAAGTGTGTTTTTGAGCACACTTAACCCAGGAAAGATTAAAAGTAGACCCTGGACTTTCTTTTTTGTATTAGTTCAGACAAGATATGAGAGAGTGAATTGATTATAGGTCAATAACGTCTCAGTTATATTCACATTTCAGGTTATTAAGATTATCCCTAGGTCATTTTAGCTGGCATTTTGGATGTTCCCCAACCAGACTTTACATCACACGTGTACAAAAGTTACTTCCCTATGCTAACCCTGGGCCTGGTTTTGTGCTTGAATCAAGCTAGTACATCAGAAGGTGAAATGCTCCCAGAAGGGAGCCAAAACCTTCATATCAAAGAAGAATACCACCCCCCCCCGAAAAAAAAAAAAAACCAACAGGCACAGGTCTTGGCTTGCATATAATCACTCTGTATAGAGCCAGTCATGACAACATGACAGTGTTGTTGGGCTACCGCAGGACTTCACTGCAGAGTAGGTGAAGTTCACGTTGATAGCGAATCATCTAGCTGGATGGGTAAGGATCAGAGTTCAGTTATATTTGCATGTAGTGATACGTTCCAGAAATATTACTATCCAAATTGACAAAAAAAAAAAAGTTATGTCAGTGCATCAGTATGTAAAAAGAAGAGCTGTCTTACTTTTTTTAAAAAATTATTTTCCTGGGACACCTCACCCCCAGAAATCCCCAGGAAAATGGACTATTGAACACATCTGTTTTGTGGCTGTGATTCTTTGGTAAATGACCACTTGATAATTACGCTTTCATCCTTTTGATAAGAAGAGAACCCCCAGGTTATCTTTGCTGAGACACCATGAGACTCGTTAGAACTATTTTTCTTTAGATAGTACTGTAACTACATTTTTTAAAAACTACCCTTTTTTTTTCTTTTGCAAGCATGTTTTTAAAGGTTGTGGTCAATTTTGTAATGAGGAAGTTACTGAAGGGTAATGGGGTTTAAGTAGCTGAAGCTGGGCATATTAAGTGTAACCCTTTCCCCACAGGGACTGTTCGAGTCTTCTGCAGAGAAGGTTCCTGTGTCTGTGGCCTGCGGAGGTGAGAGCCCCCTGGATGGGATCTGCCTCAGTGAATCAGATAAGACAGCCGTGCTCACCTTGATAAGAGAAGAGGTAAAGGTGTACTTGTTCTGCTTATCACTCTGTTTCTTTTAAAGCCCATGTGCCACCAGAGATTCCATCTCTGTTGGCTGTAGTTGCTTCAGCCTGCAAGTTCTTCGTCCTACAGCTTGTGGAGCGTACATAAAGGACTCCCTGTAAACCTGATGTTGTTGCTGCAGTCCTGACATGCTGATGGTGTTCAGGGGGAAAACGGATACTCTGAAACACTCCTAAGAATTTTGTGTAGTTTTCTTTAGTCTTGTGGTTTCAATATCTAATTTTGTCAACTCTGATCCATTTTGTAGAGGATATGTGCTCGTGCCTAAGAATGGCCTATATTCTGTCTGGGCTTGTAGCAACATGAAATTGTTCTCTGATACCATCCATTCTTTAAATGTTCAGCCCTCCAGTCCTGAATTGTGTTTCCTGAGGAGGCTGTGTTTGAGATGAATCACTGGCCAGGCACTGGTGGCTCACGCCTGTAATCCTAGCTACTCAGGAGGCAGAGATCAGGAGGATCTCAGTTTAAAGCCAGCCAGGGCAAATAGTCCACAAGACCCTATCTTGTGGTGGGTGGGGGGGCTGGTGGAATGGCTTTAGGTGTAGGCCCTGAGTATCACACAGCATAAAGCAAAAATAGATGACTATGAGGCCTTTCTCAGGTGATCAGAAAAATATGAAAGATACTGTTATGCACTGTTGATCAGTTTTCAACCTTGTTCATCATATTTTAGGTGTTTGGTTTGTTTTTGAGGATTCCACTTTTTTTAAGAAGGTCTAGCAATTTTATTTTTATACTATGATGAAAATAGTTAAGCATCTTAGCAGTACATCTTTCAAAGCTTTGTATATAGCATGATACTGGTAATAAGGAATGTCAACTATTTCAAAACTTGGAACAGTAGCCAGGAGGCCCACCAGACAAAAATGATTTCTTCCTCCTGAGAGTTAAGCTGTGAGATTACACTTAATTGATCAAAGCAAAGATGTACCTGATCGCCTGAAGCATACAGGGTGGCCTCTGGGTTCTTGAACTCTTTATTAAAAGCACCAAAATAGAGAAGATACCAATTAGGAAGAAGGAAGTACCACAAGGAAGCATAGTGAAAGGTGGGCAATGGATGTCCAAGGCAAATGGAATTGAGGCAATGAGTTCAGAGTATCTTTCTAGTTAGCAAGAATATCCTCAATATGGAAATGGATGCTGGTGTGATTAGCGGGATCCTGCCTGTGTTGATGGATGCCATAGTGGGAAACTCCGAGCCCCTCATTCTGACTCCGTTTGTATCAAACAGTTAGAAGACTCACACAGAATATTCTGCCATTTGTGGTGGCACAGGCCTATAATCCTAGCACTCAGGAGACTAGGGATAGAGGATAAAGAGTTCGAGACTAACCTGAGCTACACAGTGAAACCTTGTCTCAAAAAAAAGAAATTCTTAGAGGTTGTAAATTTTAAATTTTGGGGAGCTGTTCTACTTATCCTTACCCTGGTGGCTGTGTTCCCGCATTCTACATGACTAAGACTGGACTTTTCCAAATGCTTCTGAACAATATATATCAACATTGAGGTTTCATATTCCTAAAGTGAATTTAACATCTTGGGCTAGACTTTGGTCATATTTTTTTTTCAGTTTTTAACCTTAGACTTAAACTATAATAGATTAAGTAAAACTAAGCTTTATTATAATCCAGATAATCACTAAAGAGATTGAAGCAAATGAATGGAAGAAAAAATATGAAGAAACCCGACAAGAAGTCTTGGAGATGAGGTTAGATTGGAGGCTTGGGTGGGGAGTTGATACTTCTGTGCATTGTTAGATGTAATATAGAAGTGTTTACTTACCTCAGAGCTAACTGCTGCTGAGAACTTGATGTTTTGCTCTTTGTACTTTGAGAATATCATTGCATGGGTTACTACTGATTAGTTATTCAAATGGCGTAACTCATTTGGGTTGTTCAGACAATTATATGTCAGCAGAACTCACATAATTCTTTTTAAAAAGCATCAACAGAAATTTGTACAAAGTAACCATTTGGAATGCAGAGTCATAAGATTTATTGATACCTTCCGTGATGGAGGCATTGAAATTCATAATGCTTTTAAAAGGTTAGTTATCCATGGTAGCTTCAAATTACATAATCACCAAATAGATTATAAAAAGCATGTTAACAGCCAGGTGCTAGGGGCTCACACCTGTAATCCTAGCTATGAGGGAGGCTGACATCAGGAGAATTGCGGTTTAAAGCCAGCCTGGGCAAATTGTTCAAGAGACCCCATCTCCAAAATAACAAGAGAAAAATGAACTGGAGATGTAGCTGCTTTGCAAGCGCCCCAGTCCCACCTAAATAAATAAATAAATAAGCATGTTTACAGGAAATAAAATTGATCAACTTGTAAGTTGAAATCTTTTTATTTTCCCTGTTCACTCTCTAGAGAGTTAAGAGCCATTAAATGACAGATAGCATCAAAGAAGAGAAGGAAAAAGGCATAAATAATTCTCATATCATATAGCCAGGGCTGTAGTGACTAAGAAACATTTTAAATATGACTACTGTAATTTATGGCTCCTGTATTACTTGGTTTTGGAACATTTCCCAAGTGTAATGCCCTTTGCTGGGCTTGGTGAAGAACACACCTCCCTTACAGAGCTTATGGTAATCACCATTAGAAACTTGGGATGGAGTCCAGCATGCTGGACACCACAGTGAGGAATGGGGCAAGAGTAGTCATTTCTTATTGAGGCAGCTACAGGGAAGAACACCCAGCACTGTACAGGGTCAGAGGATGATGTTTCATTTCACGAGGTGAAAGGCTAACCCAACAGGGTGATCTTTAAAGTCTTTGAATAAATCAAATACTTTTGGAATTAGGACACTAAATCAGAGGGGACAAAGTGCCCGATTGGGGCTAGGAAAGGCTGAAGTCAGAGTGGATCTCTTAGAAAGAGCCCCAAATAATGTCTAACTTAATTTATAAGAGGTTGATTTGTCTAAGTGGAATTAACTTGTCTTGAGATATTTAAATAGGTGCATAGAAAAATGAAGGCAGGTTTTATACAAATAGGATAAAAGGCTTATTAGACATAAAATCTTAAGAAAAACCATTTATGACTTGGGGTGTAGCTCAGCAGCAGAATGTATGCTTAGCATGTAAGGCCCTAGATTCAATTCCCAGCACCAAAACCCCCGAGAAAACCCTCCCTTGTGCCGGGAACATAAACCTTTTGAACTTTAAAAAATCTTATATAATGTAAGAAAAACAAAAGAAGGGAGGGGCAAAGCAAATAAACTGATTATGTAAGTTTGTCATTGTATGTTGATGAGTTTGTTGGGGGCAGCATTTTTCTAACTTTCACTGCTTGAAAATTCTCTTCTCATAATAAATTCTTTTTTTCTTATTTAGGAAAATTGTGGCTGAATATGAAAAGACCATTGCCCAAATGATTGGTAAGGAGAAAGGTTTTTTATTTAGAGGAACTTGGATTTGAACTGAGGGCTCCAACTTGCAAAGTCATCACTCTACTGCTTGAACCACATCTCCAGCCCATTTTGCTCTGGTTATTTTAGAGATTGGGGGGAGGTCTCCTGAACTATTTGCCTGGGCTGTCCTCAAATTGCGATCCTGCCGATCTCAGCCTCCCAAGTAGCTAGGATTACAGGTGTGAGCCACTGGTGCTGAGCAAAGGAGAAAGATTTTTCTTTTTAGGATATGAGTCATTTTTTTCTAAGAAGCTGTCTTAGTATATTCAGGCTGCCATAACAGCATACCATAAACTGGGTGGCTTATAAAAATAAAAATTTGTTTTTCACACTTCTGGAGGTCCAAGAACAGGGCTCTGGCAGATTTGTGTCTGCAAGGGCCTGTTTCTCTCAGTGCCTGCCTGCTTCATCCTCACATGGTAGCGGGAGGGACTAGCTAGTTCTCTGGAGTCTCTTTTTTTTCCTCTTTTTTTAGTTGACATGTAATAATTTGCATACGTAAGGGGTGCAGTGATAATTGAAGTCAGGATAGTTAGCACTTCCATCATCTTACACCTTCATCATTTCTTTGTTGGGAGCCTTCAATTTCCTGTGTTCTTTCTAGTTCTTTATAAATGTATAATAAATCTTATAAGTGGTAGTCACCCTACTATGCTGTAGAACATGAATTTATTCCTCCTGTATTTTGATACTCATTATCCAAACTTTCTCTATTCCCCTCCCCTTCTCACTCCTTTTCTAGCCTCTAGTGACCACTATTCTAGCATTTACCCCTATGAAATCAGCTTATTTAGCCTTCACTTCCATATGTGACTGAAAACATGGAATTTTTCTTTCTGTGCTTGGCTTATTTTACTTAATATAATGTTCTCTGGTCAGGGATCACTTTTGTAAAGGTACTAATCCTATACCTGCCCCCATAATTATCCCCTGTATTATCTACTTTTCCCATTGCTATGACCAAAATACCTAATATAAACAACTTGAAGAAGAATTTATTTTGGCTCACAGTTTCAGAAGGTACAGTCCATGTTGCTTGGCTGTATACACTTGGGCAGAATATCTTGGCTTTGGGAGCAAATACTGAAGGAGGCTCTTCACCTGTGGTAGACAAGAGGCAGACACTCCCCTGATGACTTCCTTCCTCCAGCTATGCTCTACTTTCTGAAGTTTCCACTACCTCCCAAAATAGTGCCACCAGTTGAGGAACAAGTGTTTACCACATGAGCCTGTAGGGGACATTTCATATTCAAACCATAACACCCCTTCCCAAAGCTCACACATATACCATCTCATTGGGGGTTAGATTTCAACATATAAACAGTGGGGCAAAGAGCATAAACATTCAGACCACATAGAGACCCATGGATGATTTTTAGAGCTTAATACAAACTTCAATTTGTCTATCCCTTACCTTATTTCCATGTTAGATATTTTCTATAAAGTTTCTGAAAACACTGAATTAGTGAATACTGAAACAGTGGTTTTAGGAGAAGTACAGGATTAGGTTCCCACAAATGCCTGGTTATAACATTTCCATCCACTGATCAGTGCCTTGTCTTTTTGTATGTTTCTGTTGAAAGACACCTCATTTAATATCTATGGCTGTTCTATTAACATTGACCACCGAGCCAGCTGTGCTGTAATACATGTGTAAAGCAAGCTTACCTACCACTATCTTGAGGTACTTCGCAGCCTTCTTATGCTTAGGAACACTAGATAGCACTTCAGTGCCACCTTTGGGGCCACTTTAAACAGCAGTGTCACCAACAAAAATGCAGAACAGTGCTGCTAAGGGAAATCACAGAAAGGACTGGTTTCAAGAAGGCAGAGAATAGCCTTGTTCAGTCTCAAATAAGAATGTGCACATCAGGTGAGTAAAAATTTTCATCCCATGTCCACAAATGACTACAAAAGCCCATAGTATTGAATGAACTTTAGCAAGTAGGCAAATTTGCAAATTCTGTGAATAGTGAGGATCAGCTGTAGTTAGGTGGTTCTTCTTCCTCTTCCTCTTCTTCCTCCTCCTCCTCTTCCTTCTTTGTTTTCCAAGTTCTGATTTCTCTCTGTCAGACTCAGTGGTGCCTTTATAAAACAACAACTAATGGTTCTCCTATGTTGCATTTACAACATCTTCTAGTCGTTGTAAGGATTGTCTCCCTAAATAAAACCAGGTTTGATCTTTCAACCATTAGGTACTAAAATATGTTCTATTATCTCTATCACCAACTACCACACAGCTTGGCCATGGCTATCCCCTTGTGTGGAATATTGAGCTGCATGGCTCCCACTCTGGATTCTTTTGGGTGTCTGTTCAAATTTTTCCTCTGAGAGAGGCCATTCCCCCCATCACTCTTGCTCTACCTTGCTTTTTCCCATCACTGGTCACCAAATGTCTTCCTCCAACTAGAATAAGTCTTTGGGAGAGTTTTGTTACATTCATAGCTGTGTCCTCATCACCAAGAACAGAAGGCAAAACATGGCCTTCTGATATGCTTGACCGTCTGTTGACTAAAGCTTTGACTTGTGATTCACAGAAGATGAACAGAGGACAAGTATGACCTCTCAGAAGAGCTTCCAACAGCTGACCATGGAGAAGGAGCAGGCACTGGCCGACTTGAATTCTGTGGAAAGGTCCCTTTCTGATCTCTTCAGGAGATATGAGAACCTGAAAGGCGTGCTGGAAGGCTTTAAGAAGGTAGTGTCCTTTTCTGTCTGTCTCCCGGCTGGTGTTAACAGATCACCACACGTGTGTCAGAGAGGCAGGCAGTCTTTTTTGTGGAGCTCAGGGCCTGTAGGCCTTGTAACTTTTATTCCAGTAAAGCTGGGTTTTCTCAACTTTTTCTCCAAGAGGTTGTGTAAGCAGGTGATCCACCTGCTCATTCCTCTACTGGGTCAAGTAAGTGAATTCTAGATGTAACCCAAGTGTGGCACAGTGCACAGGAACTGGAGCCCTCAGACCTTCGGAGGATCTTAGAAATTTTGTTTTTGCTGTCATCCTTTCAATGTTAATAACAGAAGGGTTCCCAGTTCAAAATATCTAAGATGCATAGTCCAGAAGAAATTAAATGCAATCATTTAGTTGTGTTCTATCAATAAATGCACTTAGAGAAGCAAGATTCTTTTTATTTCCTTTTGTGGTGCCAGGAATCAAACCCAGAGCTTTCACATGCTGGCAAGTTCTCTACCAGTGCAATACATGCCTCACCCTTGAAATTCTTCATTTTAGGGGGAATTCAAGTATGATATACTTAATAAGAACCTTTGTAAATGCTACAGTGTACCCCCCGCCCAGCACAACAGCAATAATAACAAAAAAAGAAATTCTTCATGGTGCATGGCTATAATTCCAGGAGGCTAAGGCAGGAGGATCAAGAGTTCAAGGCCAGCCTGGGTTACATAGTGAGACCCTGTCTTAAAATAGCAATAGAAAAAAATTTTAAATAAAAATGAGACTGGACAACTTACATGGTGGTCAAGTTTCTGTTCAGTTTTAAATAAGTGACTTCCTAAAGAAGGTGTATTATAAACAACCTCCATTGTATGAGGTTGAAAATTAAAGACATGAAGAAATAATGTAGAATTTGTCTGGTGAGAACTACATGTGCCTATTTCAAGTTGACATGGTATAGAAAGTAAAGGCATCTGTACTAATTAGGCTTTCCCTTTTTTAAAAAATGAAAACTGATAAATGGCATATTACTAGTACAAGAAAAACAGAGCCAACTGTTTCTTTTGAACTTTCATTTTGAAACAGAATGAAGAAGCCTTGAAAAAATGTGCTCAGGATTATTTAGCTAGAGTTAAACAAGAGGAGCAGCGATACCAAGCCCTGAAAATCCATGCAGAAGAAAAACTAGACAAGTAAGAGCTTGAAGATATGAATCTCACTTTTCATAGTGTTGTGGGGAGATTGACAGAGGCAGAAATTTTATTTTTTATCTAAAAAGCTACATGTATTTATACATTTTGCTATCGGTATTCCTATTTGTAAAACAAAAATTCAGTGTTTTGCAACTTCAGGTTTCATGTTGTGTGTGTGTGTGTGTGTATGTTGTCTTTCATTTTGAACCATATCCTTTAGATGGTTAGAACATTAGAAAATATCCTGGCCTGCTTCCACTAGAGTTCCACCACATTTACCTCTAGATAATGAAGTGTTGCTGCTTTTTAGGTTTCCTTCTAGATACATGTTTCCCCCACTTCATTTGTATGTGTGTGTGAGATGCTGGGGATTGAACTCAAGGCCTTGCACATGTGTGGCAAATGCTCTACCACTGAGCTACAGCCCCAGCCCTTCCCACTTTTCCCACTTCTTTCTTATCTTCTAGCTTTATAGGTTTTTTGTTTGTTTGTTTGTTTTTGTCAATACTGAAGGTTGAAGTTATGGCTTTGTGCTTGCTAGGCAGGCTTCCTACCACTTGAGCCACACCTCTAGCCCTTTTTTGCTTTGCTTATGTTTTTGGATAAGGTCTCTAGTTTTCAGACCACAATCCTCCTACAAACCTGCCCACAAAGCTGGGATCACAGACATGTGCCACCATACCTGGCTTGTCTGCTGAAATAGGATCTCAAAAATTTGCTCAGGCTGATCTCAAACCACAATCTCCTTGGTTCTCCTGTTGAGAAGCTGGTATTATAAGGTGTTATTACAAGGTGTGTGCCATCACATTCTGCTGAATTGTGAATAATTTTTCTAATTTATCATTTATCTTTTGGGATTGGGTTTTTTCTCTTTTTGTTTGAGGGTTTTTTGTTTTTTGTTTTTTTTTGAGACAGGGTCTCAAACTTGCCTTAAACAGCCTGGCCTTAAACTTGCAATCCTCCTGACTCAGCCTGCCACTGACTCAGCCTGCCATGGAAATGTTTTGTGGTTTTTTGCAGTACTGGGGCTTGAACTTATGGCCTTGCTCTTGCTAGGCAGGTGCCCCACCACTTAAGCCGCTCTGCCACCTTTTTTGTATTTGGTATTTTCGAGATAGGGTCTCATGAATTATTTGCCTGTGCTGGTTTTGAACCACGATCCTCCTGTTCTCTGCCTCCTGAGTAGCTAGGATTATAGGTGTAAGCCACTGGTGCTTGGCAGAAATGTATTTTTTTTAAGTAATGAAATGTATCAGTCATTTCTTTTGCAACTTCTGGATTCCCTGTCATAGTAACAAAGATCTTCCTTGGTAGAAAATATTCTACCAATTTTTCTTTCTAGTGCCTTCATAGCTTAATTTTTTAAGCCCTTGAGTTCAATACATTTCGGAATTTACCTCAGGGAATGGTGCCAGCTTTATTTTGTATGTAACAAGTAATATGTACTTGTCCATTTTGCTGTCTGGAGTCCTATTTATAAAAACTTTTAAGTTTCTCTTTCTCCTTTCCACTTCCATAGGTCATTAAAGGTTTATTGCATGTCCCTCTAGTCTTTTGTTTGTTCCTTTTACCAATACTAACCAAAATGGTGTGGGAATTTTTTTGCACTTAAAAATAAAAGATATTGGGGTCATATTATACAATTTTTTTTTACTTAATAGTATATCAAGGCTATTTTTCTATGTCAGAACATAGAGCTCAATCTCATTCTTTTTATTAGGTTACAGGACTATAATATTTCTTTACTGATGGGTGTTTAATTTCAAAATTTTTTCCTTTGTAAACAATGGAAAAAATATTGTGCACTAAGCACAGACTGTTTCTATGACTAGATAATTAATAAAAGTGGAGCTGCCAGGTCAGAAGGCATTACATTTTAAGACACTGGGGTTGAACTCAGCGCTCACACATGCTAGGCAAGTACTGTACCACTTGAGCTGCACCCAGATGTGTACATATTAAAATGTCCTGGTTACCACCACTTTGTCCTCACAGACAGTGCCAGTTTTCATCCTTCCCATCACCATGTGATCCTGTCTGTCTCCTTGCATCTCTGCCAACACAGGACAAAGACCATTCTTGTTAATTTTTGCCCATCTGATAAGTGTTTTTTGCAGTTATCATTTGGGGGCAGGGGTAGTAGCTCAGTGGTAGATCACCTGTTAGCATACATGAGGCCCTGTATTCAAACCAAAAAACCCCAGAGGCTTATCATTTTAATTTGCATGTCTCTATTACTAGTGAGTTTTAGCTTTCTAAATTAACCAGCTGTTTGTCTAAGATATGTTCTTGCATTTCATTAATAAAATAACTTATTTGAGGTTGGGGTTTCATAGACATCAGTGTTTAGAATCCTTACTCTTTAGCTGTGATGATTTCCAGAATGGTCCAATCCACTATTATACTCAGTTTTAAAAATTAAGACTGTGGTTGGGAGCAGACAAAGATCAGGAGTGTCATGGTTACAGGATAGCCCAGGCAAAAGGGTTGCAAGACCCCATCTCATCTGATGACTGGGAGCAGTGACACATGCTACAAGGGGTAGCACGAATAGGAGGATCGAAGTCCAGGTCAGCCCAAGCATAAAGTGAGACCCTATCTCAAAAATAACACAAAAAGGCTAGCAGAGTGGCTCAAGTGATAGAGCACCTGCCTAGCAAGTATGAGGTCCTGAGCACAATCCCCAGTACCTCAGAAAGAACAAAACAAACATCATGGCACAGTGGTCCACACCTGTAAGCCCAGCTACTTGGGTATCAGAGATCAGGCGGATCACAATTTGAGGCCAGGCTGGGTTGGGGAGCAGGGGTTAGCAAGACTGCAACTCAACCAATAAGCCAGGCATGATCGTGTTCTCCTGCGACCCTAGCTATACTGGGAGGCCATAAGTAGGAGGACTGAGGTCTGAGGCTAGCCCTGGGCCAAAAAAAAAAAAAGTTGAGACCTGCCTGAAAAATAACTAAACCAAAAGGGGTTGAGGGTTGTTTAGCAAGTGTGAGACCTTGAGTTCAAGCCTCAGTACCACCAAAAAAAAAAAATAATAAGATTGTTATAAAAACGTCAGTATTCCATTTTCTCATGAAATATAAAATTTGAAGAACACTGTGGCCCTTGAACTCAATCCTGGCATTGGTATGTGCCATAAAAGTTTCCTTAGCAGTTGCATGCAAGTTGAATTTTGTAGGTCACTACTTGTCTTTTCTCTGATCATGCAATCAGTTCTTTTAAGTGTGTGTGGATAGAAGTCAGTAGTTAATATCCTAACTCTCATTTGCCTGATGGCTAACCACATGCTTTTCTTTTCTTTATTCTAAACAAAAAACACCATACACAGAGCCAATGAAGAGATTGCTCAGGTACGCACAAAGGCAAAGGCTGAGAGTGCAGCTCTCCACGCTGGACTCCGGAAGGAGCAGATGAAGGTGGAGTCCCTGGAGAGGGCCCTTCAGCAAAAGGTACAGCAAGGGGTTTGGTCTACACAATCGCCAGACACTTGGCTCTTCTCCACAGTTGTTCACATAGGTCGTTGGTTTGTCCACAGTGTGCTTAGCTCACCATGGACCTGGGAAAACTGGCCTTGCCCTTCTACTCAGACACTTCAGCCTAGCTTCTTTGTGAATTGATTCACGGAAACACGTGGCTCCATTAACCTTCCTGCATTTTATATGGAGTAAGCCACCCACAGGAAGGTGCAGGGAGGAAGTTGCTTTCAACTGATGTGCAAGGGATTGGGTACTTCTTAGTGGGGGTTACAAGGCTACCTTTTGTTGCTTTTGTTTGCTTTTTTATGCAACGTGTGAAGCCATTTTCCCCTTTCATTGTTTTAGATCATTGGTTCTCAATTAGGGACAGTTTTGGCCTCCAGGGCACATTAGGCAATGTATGGAGATGAATACTTGTCATGACTGGGAGATGCTACTATCATCTAGTGGGCGGAGTATGGAGATGCCAAGCATCCCATAATACACGTGGTCTCCATATCAGAGACTGTAGGCAAATTAAAATCAGCAGGTATTAGGGGACCCAAGTCTGGCTGCTTGCCACATGACAGGCCAATTAAATTGAGAGACAAAACGTTGAGATAAGGAAGGCAACTTTATTCCAAAAGCCAGCAATGAGAAGATGGAGGTCCCCTGTGCAAAGTCCATTTTGCAGAGAAGCTGATTTAGGAGTGGCTTATACTGTCAGGTGATGGGTGCTCCAAGACTGATGGCACCTTCAGTGGGTCAGATGGTGGTGTGTATCTAACCCTAATCACCTAGTCACTGGATGCTTTTCAGATCTGCAGGTCTCAAGAACAGAACCTTATTTCCTTGGGCTGTGCTTGTCACTGGTACACAGTTAACAGCTGGAGGTGGTAGCTACCAAAAGACCCTCTTGCTGACAACAAGACTCATTGTAATAAAAAACCTTAATGCTCAGCTCTGGTAGCAGCAGTTCTGTTTTTCACTACTCAGTAATTTTTAGCTCTTTTGTTTAAACGTCTCCCATGTTTTGCTTGCTCCATTTCCATTTAGGAGCTAAAGCATGGTGTTGGATGGTCCCTCAAACAGTATCCCTGGGATGCTTAGACTCCAAAATCCTTGTCCTTGGGGCTGCTGTTGGATTGAGTGAGACTCAGATAATTGTGTGTTTAGCAAGTTCTCCGTGATAACAAGAAAATGTGAGAACTCAGAGGCACATGGCCAGGCTTCAGGGGCCTCGTGACTCCCCTTGCCCTCAATTCAGTTTAGGTGCAATACTGAGTATCTTCTGCTGGGAAGAAGGTATGTGGACTTCCTTTTCTTAAAGGATCTGTGCTGTAGAAAAGTGAAGAACCCTGAGTTAGGGTATTTGTGTAGGATCTAGCCAGTCCTGGGACTATCTATCTATAATCAGCTTTGTCCAGAATACAGAGTAGCCTGCATAATGGTATCATCTGTCTTTCAGAACCAAGAAATTGAAGAACTGACAAAAATTTGTGACGAGCTGATCGCAAAGCTGGGAAAGACTGACTGAGATTCCTCCCATTAGCTCAGTAGCTCTGCATTTGGCTGTGTCTTTTGTGACCACAGTTACCTTGCCTTATCCAGGAATAATCACCCCTTTGCAGAGAAAAAAAGAAAAGAAAAAAAAAAGCACATGCCTCCTGCTGCCTGTCCTGCTTTGCTGCCCATGCAATAGCTCTGGAAGACCCTGGAGTCCAGTCTGGTCAGGAAGGAAGGAGGGTGACCTGACTGTGCCCCAGTCTCGCTGTCCCCGGCTGTAGGTTGAGTTAGGTGCTGAGTCTGGGTTTGTGATTTCTCTGTCTTTAGTTCGTCCTAACATCACTTTTACTTTTCCTAAGTTTGTTAAATTTCCAATTTTATGACTACTTGTTGGGGCTCATCTTCTCCACTGTTTGATGTTTTGTGACCTATTTAATCTTTTCATTTTCATTGTTATCAGTTTTATTGAAGGAAATAATTTGGCTTATTGTTATTTCCTGTTTATAAACAACAAGGGGCTCTGAGTACCCTTTTTATACATACTCTTACCCATACATATATATCTATATATGCTGCTTTTTCCCTAAAGCATAGTCAGATGAGAATGTCTCTGTAAAAGAACGTGTTTCCTTCATATATGTAAGACCCTACTTTGAAACAAGGTCCTGGTTCAAACGCCAACTTAAGCATTTGGGTGCTGAGCATAGTTGGCATGCACTTGTAGTCCCAGATACTCAGGAGGCTGAGGCAGGTGGGTTGTTTTAGCCTAGGAGTTCAAGATCCACCTGGGCAACATAGCAAGACCCTGTCTTTAAGAAAAAAAGAAAGAAAGAAAAAGGCAGCAGTGGTGGTATCCTTCTGTAATCCCAGCTCCTAGCTACTTTAGGCAGAGGCAGGAGAATTCCTTGAGCTCAGAAGTTATAGGCCTAGCAAGCCCAGGCAAAGTTAGTAGTACTCTATCCCAAAAATACAAAACAAAAGGTCTGAGGGCATGGCTTAAATGGAGCACTTGCCTAGCACATGCAAGGCTCAGGGTTCAATTCCCACTACCACCTCTCCCCGCCGCCAAAAAAAAAAAATGGTGGATTGAGGATGTGAATGCCACAGACTTTGGCATTCACATCTGGGGAAAAGTCTTTGCCCTGTTGGTATTTGGACACCCCTCAGCTCTGACAGGTATGGTTCTTGATCCTGAGATGACAAATAACATCTGTATTGAGTAGTGTGACCTCCTTCGGAGCTGGGCTTTGACATATCTTCCCTGGAGTTATTAGTCTCCTCTGCTTCAATTTATTGATACAAAATCAACAGCTCACCTTCGTTATCTATTTGAAATATATAAAGGAAACTTCATTGTGAAAAGCTTAGAAGATCTTATCTAATTAAAAGATAACTGCAGCCCATTACCAGTTACAAGATATAGGAGCAGTGTTTTGTCTTTGTAGGTGTGGTACATTGTTCTTCAGATGTTATGATAGAGGGGGAAAGGCAGCAAATGCTTTCAGACTTATGATGGAATTTTTGACAAAACAGGTAGTAAAAACCACGTGTCCCACTCCACAAATCAGCACATTGGGAAGTGTTTAAACAAAGACAGTTTGAATAGTGGAGACAGGAGTGCAAGAGCAAGCCCAAACAAGCAAAACCAAACTCTGCCAGCTCATACTAGACTCTTTTCCCAAAATGGAAATTTCCTACATAATGCCAGTGAATTCCCTTCCATTCCAGAGGCAAAACCAAATCCTCTCTTCTGTCGTAATCCTACACCCTGAAAGTCTTCAAGGTGATACGCACTGTATTCAGTACATGTGTGCTTCCCTGCTTCTCTTGTAAAACTGTTGCATGAGCCAAGCTCAGCAGTGAATTGTGCCTCGTGGAGAACCTCTGTAGATCTTACAGATGAGTATTTCTTTAGCAGTGTTTTACTCATGTGGGTGCAAGTCTTTAGCACCAGGGAAGTCAATAATGTCTTTTCAAGCCAGAAGTCATATTTTACCAGTAGGCATTTATCATAATTGGTGCTTAGGCTGTATTTTAAAGCCTATTGTCTTAACATTTTGTACAAAACAAAAAAGAACAACAGAAGTTTTCTGTGGTTGGAGAAGTGGCTTGACAATCATTTGGGTTTTGATAGTAGTCACTGTGGCTTAATATAAATGCTGTACCAGTAGTCATTGTATCAAGTACAAGTGTCTCCTGGTGGCATAATCATTTTCCTCTCTTAGTCCTCTGCTACAAAGTACAGGTGCAGAAAGAAGTATTGCAAAACCTTTTGCTGCTATGTTTTGGTGACATATCCATGTTTACTTGTTTTATACTGACCTGTTTTAACTGTGAAAGGCTAATAATGGTCTCCATTATAAATCCATAGTCATTTTGTTTCCTTTAAAACATTTTGTTTGCAGTGCTAGGGAGTGAACCCATAGTCTTGCACATGCTATGCAAGTGCTGCATTCCCTGTCCCAGTCATCTTTTTAAGCTTTTTGTGTATTTTAAAAGTACAGTGAAGCTACGTGTTAAAACAAGTGATGACAATCCTTCCCTAGCACACTGGTAGAAGAGACTTCCTAAAAACTAGACCTTGGTGAGTGAAGTTGCTGCACCCGAATGCGAAAGGGCCCTTGTTAAGTAATATTTGCCACTGGCCTCTCTCAGTCATACCAGTGTAAGAACATGTCCACCATTCTAAATTGACAGATGGAGGCTCTCCAACAAGAGTAAAAATGTAGCCTTGCACAGGCTGGCAAATCAAGAGAAGAATGAAGTATGTGTATTTTCCTGTAAAAATAAGCCAAAAAAAGTTTTTAGAACTCTGGAGAGGGGTTGGGGATGTAGCTCAGTGCAAGAGCACTTGCCTGGCAAGTGCAAGGCCCTGAGTTCGGTCCCCAGCACTGAAAAAAAAAAAAAATGGGAGGGAGGGAAATAGAAAAAAGCAAAAGAACTCTGGAGAATAAGAATATAGTCAAGTTTGTTTAAACAAAACATGAGAGCCAAATTATTTGTTAGGCAGTTTTTTTAAATGCCAAGCATAGTGGCCCATGCCTGTAATCCCAATTATCTGGAAGTGGAGGCAGGAGGATTAAGAGTTTGAGACCAGCCTAGGCTACATAGTGAGACCCTGTCTCAAAAAACTGAGGGCTAGAGGTGTGGTTCAGTGGTAGAGTTCTTGCCTAGCCATATGCAAGGCCCTGGATTTGATCCCCAGCACCACAGAAGGAAAACAAACAAACAAACAAACTGTTAGAAAAAAGGGCAAGGGAACTAGAAGGAAGCTGCTGACTTGGTGATTTGGAATACTAGGTGGTCTTGTTGAGACTCTACATCCAGAGCCACGTCTTCAGTTTCTAACTTTGCCAGAGTATTGTGATAGGAGACAGACTAGTTTACCATGTTTTCAGCTAAGACAGTTGGTTACAGTCAGACTTCTCAACATTTCCTTTATTTGGAAAAACTCCTTGAAGCCAGTGACTTTCCCAAACCTTTTGTTCTGTGAAATCCTGCTGGAAACACTGAGTAGCCCAGGACACCATGGTTTCCATCTTCTTCAGACCCAGCCCAAATTAGGGAGTGCAGAAGCACATGATGGGAAAAGCTGAGGCTTGGCTGCCTTCCAGAGCAGCGTCTAAGGGAAGATTAGCTGTCATTTGGTAGGGTAGCTCAGATTGAATTTTCTTCCCAGCGGTGTCTGTGTCCCTGTCTACCTGTTCACCCTTGGCAGTACTGCAGACGAGTGCTTAGGTACTTAGTAGACAGCCCTGAATTAGTTCTGTCTAATTAAAAACGAAGAACAGACTGCTCTGAGCGTTCTTGGCTGAAGCAGCCAATTGAAGCTTTCACTTCTAGAAAAGTTAGCAAAAGGCGAGAAGTAGCCCTGCAGCTCACGAAGGGTTTTTAGAACAGTGCTGGAAGTCTTTGCACAGAGTTGGAAATGACTTGGCCATTTTTTTTTAGTGGAGTAAGCATTCTAAAGCCCCTTTCTGTTTCCTTTGGTTTTTCATTTTAATTGATCACCATCTCATGAATTGTTAATGGCTATTACTGTCTCTTTGTAGTACTGTGACTGTTTGAGCTTGCTCTCAGATGGGTTTCTTGCTTCACTTCTTCTTGGGAAGAGAGAAACTAGTGTTGAAAGATTAAGTGACTCAGGCAGGGGATTTTAAAGTAGAGATGTATTTATTATGAAGAATTTTAAAGATAACCTTACTATTTGATTATTAAAGAACAAATATAGTCTGGGAATCCCGGAATGTCAAGCCAAAGGTCTAAGAAGTCATCTTCTTTCAAAGATTTTAATAAAGAAGTCATTTTGAGGAGACTTCTGTCCAAAAAGGTTTGACTGGCCTCCAGATTCCAGTTATTTTTAAAAAGCAATTCACCAGGTCTGGGGATATAGCTGTAGTGCACTTGCCCAGCATGCACCAGGCCTGGCTTTCATTCCCAATACCACAAAAAAGAAAAGGAAGCAATTTACCATGCAGTCACCACATTTCCCAAACAGTAAAGGTGAAGGAAGTGATAGGACCCACCCTTCTGTCCTAGGAGCTCCTCTGGAAGAGAGCACATGCATAGCACTCCCCATTGAGGACCGTCCTTGGTGCCAGAGCCTGCGTTCTGGAGACTAGAGATTGCACTTTTTGTAGTTTTTCATCCAAATGTGATCCCATTCCTGTGCCTCTTAGCATGCAGTTAGATTTGGACAAACAAGATTCCTAAGGAATGACTTAATTAACTATAATATGGTTACAGCTATTATATAAGTATATAGATTTTGGTTATAGTTCTAATATGAGTTGTTGTGTGCGATGCTGGCCTGTGGCAGTCTGTACGATGCTTTAACTGTTTGGAGGGGCCAGGCTGAGTGCTGAGGTGTGTCCTAAGCCTTCCCTGTATGGATTCTTCACTTCTCGACTGTCAGGATGCCACTCTGTCCCCTTTTAGTGGTGTCTGGAATATATTCCATGTCATTAACTGATATGCTATATTTATGAATAATTTTCAAATGGACATAAAAAATTTGAACTCTGAAACTACATCCAGTCCAGATACAGGGCAGTGTATAGGTCACACCTTGGCCTCAGCCTTGGCCTCCGCCTCAGTCCTTCACAGCCACTGAGCATTATTTAAAAACAGAGGTAGCAGTAAACTTTTCAGTCAGTATTGCTGTTAGCAAGTGTGTGTTTGCCAATAGATGCCCACTGTGTAAGGTGCCAACCAGTAATGTGTATTGCACATCTGCCTCCACTGTGTCCCTGAAGCATGGGCGGAGCCCCTCACCTGGAGGGGTGAGTGCCACATTGACTCCTGCTGACAGGATGGCGTGGGATGGAATCATCATCTGCATAGATTTTATATTCATAGTAATTTCCCTTTTTATATGTCAAGTAAATATTTGTAAAAGTTATACTCACAAATGAAATTATTATAATTACTAATATATTTTTTCCATGTTTCATCGCCTGAATAAAAACTGTTTACCACTGTTAGACCTGGGTGTGTGTTGTTGTTTTTCCTGGTTATAGGTCATTTTATCCCTGAGTGTGAAAATTTATGGCAGCTGTATTATGAGTTCCACATTTCAGCCTAAAAATAGCAAAGATGTCATTTTCTCTACACTCATTTGTGGTTTTGTGCACTTGGTTGGATATGTAATTAAAAACAAACAAACTGGAATTCAGACTTTGGCATATAAATGACCATTACTTTGCATCTGTGCAAACAGTTTTCAGCTGCGAGCTTCTTTTTGCTTAGGACGTTTTTCAAGTCTCAAGTTAGAAGTCAAGTCACCCCAAGCTTTCTGAATCGTTGAAAGACACAGGAAAAGCCAGGGCTGTGCAAACATTACAGCCCACAGAAAGTAGTTGATGTTTTAGGTTTCTTGTAGGTTAGTACTAAGAAAAAACTATCAGTACTGGCCAGGCCAAGCCACTTAAAGGAGCAAGGGATGGGGCAGGAAAGTTTGCTGGTTATATTACTGGAAAAGATAAGAGGATAGTCAAGTTCCATTTTACAACTTAGGAAAGGATGCCCTAAGAAAATCAGCACACTGTCCGTTCCTTATCATTCGCCTGTCCTAAGACATGGCAGCCTGTGAAGTTCCTCAAAGGAGTGTTTCTCACCAGTGTGTTCCTGAACTGCAAAGAAAAGCCTATAAAAATCACTGAAGGGAGTGGTACAGCCATTGATGAAATGCTGAACAGGCAAATCTCATTTCTGAGAATTGCTGGAAAAAAATAAGATGGGGTTTACTCTCTACCCTCCTAGTTTTACTCTTAGCTAATTTAAGACCACTAATGTTTTTCACAGTTTTAAAAATAGGAGTCATAGCTTCATCTTAATGAGAGGTAATAAAAAAATGTTTTACACAGTACAGGGTTTGTCGAACACAGGGCTTTGTGCACACTAGACACCACTGAGCTACGCCCCCCCACCTGCAGCAAGCAACATTTTAAATATCAGAAGTCATTGCGGAAGTTAAGGATAAGTATTGGTTCATGAAATTTGCTTCAGATACAAATGTACGTGTACTAGATCATGACAAAAAGTTATTTTCTTGCTACAAGTCAGTATGAAAAACTTGATCTAGGCAACTTACAACCTTTTATAATAGAAACCAAGGCCCAGAGAGGAGGGGTGTAGCCAAGGTTGTGTATTAGAGAACACTGTTGTAACAAAATAGGTAAAACTGAATAGCCAGTTAGTCCTTTTTAAGCTTTTAAAATCCAAATCCTCCCAGGTTTGGTTAGTATTTATATCATTCCCTAAGTAGGCCTTTCAGGACTGGTCAATAACAAAACACCTTTTTACTACATTCGTTGACTCACCAAATACTGGTTCATCTATAGAGTTTAAAGTGAAACATGAAAAGTTTTGGGATAGTTGACTAAAAAAATTGTTTCTATATTTGATTGAAATCTATTGAATATAAATGATATTAAAACTATTCTTTCCCAGCATAAAGTAATTCCATGTCTACATTTCTTAGCTCAGTTGTGAGTTGTA